GCTGGGTGTCTCCTGATCTGTGGTAGCTCTGGTTAGAGACTTTTCTCTCAGGAGCTCAGAGCTGAAAGCTGGAGGTGGGCTTGGTTAGAGGAAGGATGTATAGTGGTGCTGAAAAGAGAGGAGCTTCATGAGACAAGTGAACTTTGGACTTGGGATGGGAACTTATGTGTGTCATATGTAGAGTGGAAACAAATTCTAAGCTTCACAAAGCAATATTATGAATGCTTTTTATTATTTCTGGAATATGAAACTGATAATCAGACATGTATCTTGGTAACGGTCAAGAACAAAAGAGCATATAACTAGGTATATTGTTTACTATAAATTAATGATTAACATTAGCAATTCATTTTGAAAGGTTGTATGTCAACCACACTAGTTTCACTGAACATGTTCCCATGCACTTTGATACCCTTTCATTCTTCTCAATCCTCCTTTCTCACTGCTAGTCTTCTCAGCTGCCTCATTTTATTGACCAAAAGAAGCCATTGAATGGAAACATTCATTTCCTATACACCAGATCTGCATACCTGTCCCCACTCTCCCCAAACAAAGCCCAATTTCATCCATCTGTAAGTTCTCCTTTTCTGTTGTAATGGAGAATGTAGCTTTCTATCTCCTTGCCCTATCCGTGGTTGTCAAACTGTGCCTCCTGAGCCACATGCAGCTCTTTGGCCCTTTGAACGTGGCTCTTCCTAAGCCTTAGGAGTACCCTAATTAAGTTAATAACAATGTACCTACTTATATCGTTTAAGTTTAAAAAATTTGGCTCTCAAAAGAAATTTCAATCGTTGTACTGTTGATATTTGGCTCTGTTGATTAATGAGTTTGTCGACCACTGCCCTAGGTCTTCTTATCACTTTGTGAACTCAGAATTTGTGTATTGAATCCTGTTCTGCTTGAACTCTAGAGCATATTCAATTTCCTACATTTATGCTGACTGATACAGTAAAGCCCGAATTTTTTCATCTGTTAAATAGGTTTAATAATAATACCTACATCTGGGAAAGATGGGTCTTTCCTTGGGTTCCACACTTTAGAGCCCTCACATATCATATGTACATGCAAAATGCATTTATTAAAGAAAATGTAGACAGCACTGTCACTTGGTAATTAGTGCTCAGTACAAAGGGCCCCCTTAAATATCCACTCTCATAATTAACATTATTTAGGCCCAGGAAACATACCTCCATAGTTTTGGCCTATATCCTGTAGAACTAAATGGTATCTGAATGCAATAAAAGTTTGTAGTCTGAACTGTGGTGGTTTTGTGTGTGTGTGTGTGTGTGTGTGTGTGTGTGTGTGTGTGTGTGTGCCAATTTCAAATATAGTTTAAGACATTGCATTGTGCCTTTACACTGCAGTGCCTAGAAAGTACAAGATTATTTCCATTTACTTGTTCCACATTCAAGTATTGCCAATTATTTATTATAGCAGCTCAGCCTTAAAATTTCCATGGAATTAACTACACTTTGAATCTTTCAATGTTTTGCATGGAACAAGAACTAAATGCTTGTTCAGGTTGCCTTAATCAAGCTCTTCACAGTGGGCCCAGAAGGGAACCACCAGGGAGAGGAGTTCCATCACTAGGAAAGCCCCAGGCATTCCCCTGGCTTACCTCCTGTACTCCGAGACAGCTTGGGAATCCTAGGGCTGCAGACTTTCTCCAGTTCTTTCTGCTGATAATCAAATTCTCCCTTCTCTGATTTTTATCAAGACAGGTGATCATTTCATTACAGTTGTCAGGAATCTTCTGTTTACCCTTGAGTGTAACTGAAGTTTTTCATCTTCGGCAATTGCCTTTATGTTGATTGCAAAGAGTTTAAGTGAATTTTTGGAAGATACCTTGTCCCACTGCTTCTTCTCTTCAGCGTTGTACTTCTTAACTTCTTGGCCCATTTGTTCACTGTCTTCCTTGGTCAAACGGTTAGTTCTCTTTTCCAGTACTTATCAACAGGAACAGCATTGAAATTGCCATTGCCATCTATATCACACATACACACACACACACACACACACACACACACACACACACACACACACACACAAAACCACCACAGTGCAGACCACAAACTTTCACTGCATTCAGATACCATTTAGTTCTACAGGATACAGGCCAAAATTATGGAGGTATGTTTCCTGGGCCTAAATAGTGTTAATTATGAGAGTGGATGTTTGAGGGGACCCTTTGTACTGAGCACTAATTACCAAGTGACAGTGCTGTCTACATTTTCTTTAATAAATGCATTTTGCATGTACATATGATATGTGAGGGCTCTAAAGTGTGGAACCCAAGGAAAGACCCATCTTTCCCAGATGTAGGTATTATTATTAAACCTATTTAACAGATGGAAAAACTGAGGCTTTAGTGTATCTGAGGGACATCACAGAGTTCAAGTGGTATGTCTGTAAGTTCAAACTTGCCAAGTTGGTTGTTATCCTTGGTTAAGGTGCACTCCACATCATAAAAAGAGCACACCTGGTTGGTAATCAGAGTAGGTAGTGAAAGACTACATCTGCTTCAGGGCCAATTATTTATATCAGACTGCTGGTTCTTGTTTAGGAAAACTAGTAATTAATGATGCAATTTCTTCCTTTAAAATTTTTTTCACAATATTACAGATGTCCCTCATTTTCCCCTTTGCTCCCCTCCAAACAGCCCCCTCGCCACACCCTATCACCACATTTTTGTCTATGTCCATGGGCTTTCCATATATACATATATACGCATTTGGTTAATCTCTTCCAGGCCCCCTACCCCCTTCCTTCTGAGATTGGTCAGTCTATTACATGTATCCATGCTGCTGGTCCTATTTTGTTTGTCAGTTTATTTTGTTCATCGTTTGTCTTATATTAGGGAGATCATGTGATATTTGTCTTTCTCTGACTGGCTTATTTCGCTTAGCATAATAATGTCGAGGTCCATGCATGCTATTTCAAAGGGTAAGAGTACTTTTGTTTTTATAGCCACTCAGTATTTCATTGAGTAGATGTACCACAGCTTTTTTACCCACTCATCTACTGATGGGCACTTGGGCTGTTTCCAGATCTTTGCTATTGTAATCAATGTTGCCATGAACATAGGGATGCATATATTTTTTCTGATTGGTGTTTCTGAATTCTTAGGATATATTCTCAGAAGTGGGATTGTTGGTTCAAAAGGCAGTTCCATTTTAATTTTTTGAGGAAACTCCATACTGTTTTTCACAGTGCTACAACAGTCTGCATTCCCACCAGCAGTGTATGATGGTTCCTTTTATTCACATCCTCACCAGTACTTGATGCTTGTTGATTTATTTATAGTAGCCATTCTGACAGGTGAAGTGATACCTTATAATAGTTTTTATTGGATCAGGCCAAAGGTCTGACACTGGCAGTGAATGATTGAAGTGAAGTGGGTCTCTGCACTGTCCCTATTCCTGGAACACTTGTTGCTTTTCCCTTTACCATTCTTACTGGACAACTTCTACTCACTCTTCAGCCATCAGGTGCAATATTACCTCAAAGAAGCTTTTGTTGAGAAAAAGTACCTAAAATACAAAAATAAGGCAAAAACAAATTTCTATGTCTTTTAAATATAATGTGACTAATACATTATCTAATAAATGATTTAGCATGATCATGTGACTTAGGAAAATAAAACTTTATTATGGTTTTATTGACCAGTAGAACATTAACTGAGCAGTCTTATTTAGGATTGAAATATTTTACTGTTTTTGATACAGCTTTGTTATCTGCCCTTTCTCTCATTTATGAGTTAATTAAAATTATGGCCCCTTATTTCTATGTATTTCATGAGAATTATGTTTTTAAAATTTTGAAATCACATTTTAAGTCCTCTTCTTCGCCTTTCCATAATCCATCTCTCCTTTGAGTTTTCATGGCACCCTGTGCTTGCTATACATTGTGTTATAACAGAGTTTAAGTCTTTAAAATATATGTATTAAATTCTTTTCATGTGCCACATATGGTGATAGGTGTTAGTGAAACTGGTGAGTGAGGCAGACATGGACTAGCCCTCAAAGGTTGTTTTTTTTTTTTTTGGACAGATGTTTCCTCTTACTAGAGTGTAAGTTTAATAAGTATAGACTATGTCGTTTTCAGTATTAAGCTTTGTGCTGGCCCACAAAAGTTGCTCAATAACATGTGTACGATAAGTGTGTAGATGAATGTATAATGGTGTAAATGTGGCATTCATAGAACTGAGATGCTAATATGTTACGTGAACTGTCTCCTTGGACTGGAAGTAATCTAAGGTGATGGCAGGCATTGTGTTGGAGAGGCAGACTGTACCTCAGTTGTAAGTAAATGGATAAGAGTGACGGGCTTGTGACAAAACCTTAAAAAAAAGGAGGTATTTACATGATTGGAATAAGAGAAAGGGCTGGAATTGACCCTGGGAATTGAATGCAATGCAAGGAAGGTAGGATTCTTAGGGAATATGTAGGCTTTAATTCAGACAAAGATGTAAACAGAATTTGAGAAAAGAGATGGAAGATGTCCTGGAAGTTATTGTCAATGGAATAAATTTCTAGAGGGCCCAGAGGAAAAGTTTGGTTTTTGGATATTGGGAAGAGTGGGATATTGATTCAAATTAGAGGATGAATGGGGGTGAGTAGCCTGTATCACAAGTTAAAACTTAATCATATATATATATTAGCCAGTGATACATCCAATAAGGTGTTAACCTCCAAAATTTATATGGAACTCATACAACTTAACAAAAGGAAGATAATCCAAATAAAAAATGGACAAAGGACCTAAATAGACACTTCTCCAAAGTGGACATACAGAAAGCCAAAAGGCATATAAAAATGCTCAAAGTCACTAATCATCTGAGAGATGCAAATCAAAATGACAATGAGGAACCACCTCATACCTGTCAGAGTGGTTATCATCAACAAATCAACAAATGACAAGTATAGGCAAGGATGTGGAGAAAAGGGAACCCTCATACACTGCTGGTGGCAATGCGGCCTGGTGTAGCAGCTGTGGAAAACAATATGGAGTTTCCTCAAAAAATTAAAAATGGAACTCCCATTTGGCCCAGTGATCCCAATTCTGGGAATACTAGTAATATCCTAAGAATTCAGAAATACTCATCAGAAAATATGTATGCACCCTTAGGTTCATAGCAGCGCAATTTATAACAGCTAAGATTTGGAAACAGCCTAAGTACCCATCAGTAGATGACTGGGTAAAAAGTGATGGTACGCCCTAGCCAGTTTGGCTCAGTGGATAGAGTGTTGTCCCGCAGACTGAAAGTTCCTGGGTTTGATTCTGGTCTAGGGCAAATGCCTGGGTTGTGGGTTTGATCCCCAGTGGGGGGGGTGCAGGAGGCAGCCAATCCATGATTCTCTTTCATCATTGATGTTGCTATCTCTCTCTTCCTCTCCCTCTTTGAACTCAATAAAAATATATTAAAAAAGAAATGATGGTACATTTACACAATGGAATACTACCCAGATGTTAAAAAGAAAGAACTCTTACTATTTGCAATAGCATGGATGGACCTGGAGAGCATTCTCCTAAGCGAAATAAGCCAGTCAGAGAAAGATAAATACCACATGATCTCACCCATTTGTGGAATATAATAAACAACATAAACTGATGAACAAAAATAGATCCAGAGACAGAGAAGCATCAAACTGACTGTCAAACCTCAGAGGGAAGGCAGGGGAGGGGGAAGGGTAGGGTGTAAGAGATCAACCAAAGGACTTGTATGCATGCATGTAAGCATTACCAATAGACACAGTCACTAGTGGGGTGAGGGCATGTGCTGGGGAATGGAAGTGGCTGGGGAGAGGTCAATGGAGGAAAAAATATAATATTGTAATAGCTATGTATGGGCTGGGGGGGGGGTGCTTGAAATATGAGGAGGACCACTCTGTAAAGTATATGATTGTCTGACCACTATGTTGTACACCTGAAACCAATGCAGAATAATATTGAATGTGAACTATAATTTTAAAAAGATGGAAAATTGTATGTTATATGTTTTTCCTCATAATAAAAAAATAGATACAGAGACAGAGAAGCATAGAACAGACCATAAAACTTCAGAGGGAAAGCAGGGGAGGGTGGGGGGGTAAGAGATCAACCAAAGGACTTATATGCATGCATATAAGCATAACAAATGGTCATAGACACTATGGGGGGTGAGGAAATGTGCTGGGAGGTGGGGGTGGCCAGGGAGAGGTCAATGGGGGAAAAAGGAGATATATGGTAAAAAAAAAATAAAAAAGAATAAAAATTTAGGAAAGGAAGAGAGAAGGTAGAAGACAAGAAGGGAAGTTGGTTTCTGGCAGCAAAACTGGTGCAGGTGTGATAAAGAGAGCAGAACCAAGATTATGTGCTTAGAGCTGCCACCACCATAGAGTGTGAGCATCAAGCCCAATTTGTGAGCACAGTGAGGGGAGAGAAAACTGACCTGCTGTGGACAATTGTTCTTCCTTTTTCTGATTCAGTTCTGGGTTCCAGATGGAACATGTCAGATTCTTCTGAGAAGTTTCTCTGAAGAGCAGTGCTGTTGTTACATGGAACAAGCCACGTTTGTCCTGGGTGTGAGTCTCAGATTCAGCTGAAATTTCTACTTCCTAAGACTCTATCCACTGGATCTTTGGCTGAGGGAACCAGCCCTCTGACTTGCACTCTAGTCGGAGTTGTTGGGACTCAGTGACTTCAACGTTTAACTGAGGATGTGAGCATAGAACTGGGAAAAGGAAGAGAGGAAAGTCAGGTCCTAAGCTTATTTCCCTGCACACATATCCCTACCCTGCTTCTGAAGAGTTTATGCTGCAGAGTAGACCTCAGTGTGCAGAACAGGAAACTGAGGCTCTGAGAAACTATTGGCAAAAAAGGATGGGACCTAGATTTCTGGGCTACAGAGGAGTCCAACACAGTCCAGGACAAATGGCCCCTGCCTAGTTCTTTACTCTCACTATGAGTCTCTTTATTATCTCTTTTTTTTAGCCCCAAACAGTGATAAATGAATGATGGGGTGAGTAGAAGTAATGTCCATCTCCCTTTCTCCTATGACTTCTTTATATTTCCCAGGAAAATTATATCAGAGAAAGGAGCCAATCCTAGGATAAACTCACCCCTGTGAGGTGTAAAGGGGTCAAATTTGGGCCATTACCTGTCACTTTCAGCTCAATCACTGTATCATTGTAGTAGGAACCATGTTTGAATGCACAGTGATACTGCCCACTGTCAGAGGGTCGAACATTGAGAAGTCTCAGGACCTCTATTTCCTTATGCATGACATTTTCCACAAGCTCTGTCCTCCCTAAGTACTCCTACATGGATTTTTCAGGCTTGTCCCTCCCATCCTAATACAATTTCATCACCTGGTAGGGAGGGACTGTGTCCAGCTCATTTTCATATTGTTAACACTTGAAAAGAGAAGAGGAAACAGGTTAGCTCAGCTTCACCACCCAGCATACCCACCAAGGGTTCATAGGGCATCTGGACTTGGAATGTTCCTGAAAAGAGAACAGAGATTGAGTCAGGATATCAGGGGAGGGATATGTGTGCAGGAAAATAAGCTTAAGACCTGACTTTTCTCTCTTCCTCTTCCCAGGATTTGGACAGATGAAGGGGGGTTGATTACACACATAATTGGCTATTTCCATCTTAACAAAGTTCTGGGTAAAGATCTGAGAATAGTTGCTGGATCTTGGGGAGAGTGGGTCTATTTTCTGACCTGAACATATACACAGCACTATGGAGAAGTAGGATATATTGGATGTAGGAAGTGTAGGTCAGGCTAACATGAAGCAAGCAAAGACTTAGGGCACAAATTTAGAGGATGCACTCACTTTGGTGCTGTAAGTTCAAGGTTGGCAACATCCTGAGAGGAAGTACCTCTTTACAATTTGGGCCCTAGATTCCTCACTTAACTCACCTGTGGGGAGGACCGGAGGAATGTGACTGCAGGAGTTGAGGAATAGATTGGCTAACTCCTTCGGCTCAGGGACTGACCTTGTCCATAGAATGGAGGGATCACACAGGAACTCTGACGGCTCTGGATACATAGTTGGGTAACTGTGTTGAGAAAGAATCTGAAGCAGCTCAGTCATAGAGATGTTTGAGACTCGTTAATATTGTTTGCTATGAACCTGAGATGAGAAAAGCAGGGCATATAAGCTAATTTTTAAAAATCTTATTCTACATTATCTTGAGGTTCTAAGAAATTATGCTTCTTTATCACCATCTGGGGCTCATTTACTTTCTTTCAATCATTGCCCTACCACATGCCCATTTATACTCAGGTACACACACACACACACACACACACACACACGCACGCACGCACACACCCACCCACACACACACAGTCCAACTGGCCTACTGGAGGAGATATGAGTAAAATGGCCTAGTATACTTATTAGGCAATAAGTGTAATAAACTGAATTTCTTTAGTTTTTCTAGGATCTCATAGCATTTATTTTTTGTTAAACTTTTCCTTCTGGCTTCTCTTCCGTTTCCTTTTTCCTTCCACATACATATCAGAGGCTATTATAAGGATTCTTACCTACATCTAATATGAGCATCTGGAGGCAAGATAGAGTGAGATGAGGCTGCCATGATAAATTTAGAGACTGGCTGCCTCCTCAGGTGACTGAGATAGGGTGATCCCAAGGCTTTGTGCTGACACATTGGAAAAGGACGGAAACACTGTAATGAGGACAGAGATAAAAAGATTTCTGAGACTTAAGTCAAGGGGCAGAGAAAGGAAGGCATTCAGGAATCTCACTCTTGGAGAGGTAAGGGGCCCATCTTATCTGTGTGAGGTGAGGGGCAGAATAAGACTCATGCTCCTTTTTTTCTAAAAGTTTTGGGACTTTTGATTTTTAGGACTTTGCAGGTCATTCATGGCTCCAGATACCTTGCACATACTGATGACTCATGTACATGTTCTGTACATAATGTCTTGTGATCCAGTGACAGGACCTTGCTTCTAGAGAGGGACCAGGAGCTTAGGGGCCCCTATAACTTGGATAAACAGAAAAAGCAGGTGGCTTCTATCACTCTCTCCTTCCCCCAGACTGGCCAACACTGGCTTCTGATGTCCCATTCTATAACATGTAAATTAGTAGTAGTAGTGAGGAAGGGCTGTAACACACCTCAACAACCACTTTAGCTTGGAATTTGGTGGCCATGGCTATAAAATTAGCTGTCCAGCACCCTAGTCTCAGAGATCCTACTGCTCAGGGGGTCTCTAGGAAGGGCTGGCCCAAAGAATGGAAGGGAAGACATTCTCTTTAGGGGGAGGGGGGAGATATGCTGTATATGTGGCAGAATGGATCCTGATCAGGTAGAGGTATGTGGTATATAATCTTGCAGGGTCTGAACCACCCACACACACACAGTCCAACTGGCCTGGATCAGGAGATATGAGTAAAATGGCCTAGTATACTTATTAGGCAATAAGTGTAATAAACTGAATTTCTTTAGTTTTTCTAGGATCTCATAGCATTTATTTTTTGTTAAACTTTTCCTTCTGGCTTCTCTTCTGTTTTCTTTTTCCTTCCACATACATATCAGAGGCTAATATAAGGATGCCTACCTACATCTAATATGAGCATCTGGAGGCAAGGTAGAGTGAGATGAGGCTGCCATGATAAATTTAGAGACTGGCTGCCTCCTCAGGTGACTGAGATAGGGTGATCCCAAGGCTTTGTGCTGACACATTGGAAAAGGACGGAAAGACTGTAATGAGGACAGAGATAAAAAGATTTCTGAGACTTAAGTCAAGGGGCGGAGAAAGGAAGGCATTCAGGAATCTCACTCTTGGAGAGGTAAGGGGCCCATCTTATCTGTGTGAGGTGAGGGGCAGAATAAGACTCATGCTCCTTTTTTTCTAAAAGTTTTGGGACTTTTGATTTTTAGGACTTTGCAGGTCATTCATGGCTCCAGATACCTTGCACATACTGATGACTCATGTACATGTTCTGTACATAATGTCTTGTGATCCAGTGACAGGACCTTGCTTCTAGAGAGGGACCAGGAGCTTAGGGGCCCCTATAACTTGGATAAACAGAAAAAGCAGGTGGCTTCTATCACTCTCTCCTTCCCCCAGACTGGCCAACACTG